TCCTCGATTTCGACACCTTCACCAAGTTGTTGCACAGCTTGCATAAATGTGGCATGAAGATCCCTCATCCTCGATTTTGACACCTTCACCAAGTTGTTGCACAGCTTGCATAAATGTGGCATGAAGATCCATCTTCCTCGATTTCAACACCTTCACCAAGTTGTTGCACAACTTGCGTAAATGTGGCATGAAGATCCATCCTCCTCGATTTCAACACCTACACAAAGTTGTTGTACAACTTGCATAAATGTGGCATAAAGATCCATCCTCCTCGATTTCGACACCTTTCACCAAGTTGTTGCACAGCTTGCATAAATGTGGCATGAAGATCCATCTTCCTCGATTTCAACACCTTCACCAAGTTGTTGCACAACTTGCGTAAATGTGGCATGAAGATCCATCCTCCTCGATTTCAACACCTACACAAAGTTGTTGTACAACTTGCATAAATGTGGCATAAAGATCCATCCTCCTCGATTTCGACACCTTTCACCAAGTTGTTGCACTTCTTTCATAAATGTGGCATGAAGATCCCTCCTCCTCGATTTCGACACCTTCACCAAATTGTTGCACAACTTGCATAAATGTGGCATGAAGATCCATCCTCCTCGATTTCAACACCTTCACCAAATTGTTGCACATCTTGCATAAATGTGGCATGAAGATCCATCTTCCTCGATTTTGACACCTTCACCAAGTTGTTGCACAACTTGCATAAATGTGGCATGAAGATCCCTCCTCCCTCCTCCCCGATTTCACCATCTAAATTTCATTCTTATACACAACCAATGTCACATCACATATCCCAACAAACGACTCGAACCCATGGATCCCAAGCACATGGCACAAGCACCAATGAAAGTGATAGATTGTACGTCCCTAAATTGCGTCTCCGTGCCTGATATGAATCGACTTAAAAGGTTCATGTAAGTTGTGAGATCAGTTCATATGTACAAACGATAGAAATTAAAGCTCGAAATCTGCTCGAGTTTAGCTTGTTTAATTCACTAGCACCAATGAATGTTTATTTGTGCACTTGTACTAAGCTACAAGTCCTGAATCTAAATTGTGCAAACATTCCTCAAAAGGTTCCGTCCATAAAATCATTATCTCTTCCTTTATGTAAAGGATTGAATAAAATCAAAATTACGAGTCCTGAATTGGAGAGTTTGAGCTTAATTGATTTGGACGATGCTTTCATTGTTACTCCCAATTTAGGTTTGTTCAACCTATTCGATTCCTTTAAATTGCTTAGTTACTTCCATCCGCGGACTTTGCTAGTAAGAATGAATTCAGATGCACTAAAGTATGATAACTTTATACAGGTATATATCCCATAATGTTATGACTTCATTCTTCATTTTAATATTTTCCTATCTATCAATTGATCTCTTTCTCTGTTTTTCCATTGTACGGATAACATTATGAATATGTAGGTCCTATTAGACGAACTAAAAGACTGGGAAAGGGAATTTGAAAGTGGCAAGCAACGTAAATATAATAATAACATGTGCTGGCTTTATTTCTTGAAAGGATTTAAGATCCTCGAATCAACTACAAGACAACTCAGCTTGGAGTTCCAATGGTAATTGCCTCATAATACACATAAGATATTTTGTTTATTTTTGTTAACGTTTATAATATACAAATTTATTTTCCACTTTAGTACATCCCTATATCGACATTCAACAGGGAGGAGAGACATACATTCTTGTTCTTGTTATTAACATTAATTGGCAAATTACATAGGATGAAAGGAAAGAAAGCCAAGGAGCAGAGAGAAGCAACGAAGGAGCTCGAGCATAACATTCACATGGTCAAAGCTCCTTCTGTGCTCGACAAAGAGCCATCACTTATGCTGCCTACCAAGGTCAAGGTTTCACAAAAGAAGTACTCAGAGGAAAATCTCATGGAGGAATGAACATTTTGCTTCCCATATTCTATATTCACAAACAAAAAACACTAAATCAGTTCATGCTTATTTTTGTGCGGTATGTATAACGTTTTGATTACATTAAATTGCTAAGCTTTCCCTTACTTCAGAATAGTAATGGTTTGGCAACTTAGTCGTGTGAGTATTGAAATACTCATATTATATTGATCAAATAGTAGAAACTTTTGAACTTCCAATATGTGTATTTTGATGAGGAACCAAAGTATTTCACAAGGTTCCTAGTTTGTCTTGACTGTGGAATTATAATTGTGTTAGGGCCTTGTTTTGATCAACAACTCTGTTGTTTTCTGGTGGTTTAGTTTCTATCACTTGTAATATAGATCTGTCTCTGCTTGTTACCTCCATCACGAACATCTTACTCTAAAGGGGCGCTAGCGCTTGACTAATAAGATATCAAAGGGGCCTGACAACATGTAATAGGCTGCTACTCTAGGTTTTCGCCGCTTCATTCAAAAATCAATAAACCATAGAGTAGGTATTAGGTGATGTTCGATCTAACTTGGACTATTTCATGGAATACTCATTACCTTCCTAGCTAGCTTTGGATTCATAGACATCACTAGCTTTTCCATCACTAGGTTCGGCTTTATCGTTATCACACAAAAATCATGGTTCCTTTCGAGACTTGGTAGCTTCGGATTCATAGCCATTGGTAGCTTCAGATTCATCGTCATCACTAGTTTCAGATTGTCACGCCCCGAGCCTACACCCTGGGCGGGACCGGCACTCGGAGACCATCGCTGGCCCCAAGCGAACCCTTGGCCTGGCTTTCTTAACTCAGCGGAAACCTAACTCAATAGAATAACTCAATGCCATGCAAAGACATAAACAACTTAACTGATGAAATCTGGCCCAAAAGGGCAACTCGAGTCTCAAAATAGAATATTTACATATATACATAGATGAGAGACTCAATACTAACTAACTGACTGTCTGTGAAGCCTCTACAATACTGAGATGGATGTTGGGACAGACCCCGCAACATCCTAATAGAACAAAACTAAGAGAACAAAACAACTGAGTCCTCCGGAAAGCAATGAGGCTCACCACTGACTCTGGAGTGCTCAACTGAATCAACGGCGTGCTGGATTCTGATCCTGGGTACCTGCGTCTGCATCATAATAATATGTCACGCCCCGAGCCTACACCCTGGACGTGGCGGACACTCGAAGACCATTGCTGGTCCCCAAGCGAACCCTCATCCTGGCTGACTCCAAACGGAAGACTAACTTAAGCATACAAGAGCTTAAAACTGAATAAGAGTTTATAAACTTAACTTTACAAATCTTTAACTCAAAAGAAAACTCTGTATAATAGAATATATATACAACTCGCCATAAAAGGCAACTTTAGTCTTCAAAACATTTAACAAAATAAATGAAAAGACTTCTGGAACTCTACTGTCTATCTATGAAGCCTCTAACTGATAAAGATGGAAGCCGGGACAAGACCCACGACCTCCTAACAACTGATACAACTGAAAGGTAAATGAAATCCTCTGAAAGCAAGAAGGCTTGTCATAGCTAACTGGAACTCCCGGATGTATCAACGAATCTCCTGTTGATGATCCTGAATACCTGTGTCTGCATCATAAGAGATGCAGGCCAAATGGCTCAGTACGTGGAATGTACGAGTATGTAAGCTGGAAAGCTAAACAACATAGGCTAGAAGAAAATTGGAATAAACTGAATAACTTACCTCTTTTCAAACTTTCTCAACTCAAGGAATACTCAAAACTACTCAAACTTACTCAACTCAGAAGATAGATACTGAACTCAGAGACAGATACTCAACTTAAAGATAAATACTCAACTCAGAGATAGATACTCAATTCAGAGATAGATACTCAACTCAAAGATAGATACTCAACTCTAGATACCCGCATCTTGAATAACTGAACTCAATATAAAGCAATAAGACAC